CACTTTTTGACAAATTCTTGCTAAAATATACATTGTGCATGCAAATAATTATAGTAAAACAAATTAAAGGCTTTTGAAGCGAGCATAGGCTTATAAAGATGTTAAATGTCATTATATTTCAGATGTTTGTACTTGCTTGTGCTAGCTCTTGCCGGTCATATTTAAAAGTGGTATTCAGCGTGTGCCAGATGGCCGTCAACCCTTTTGAAACAGCAACATCAACATGTTTAACATGGGTTTAGAGGCGATGCTGTTCTGTTAAAAGAGGATCTGGCATTGACAGATTAGAAGCCAGAATAGCAGCTCATGGACTCTTTACTTTCTATTCTTCTATTCTATTATTCTATTATCTAAGAGTCCATAGCCAAGACAACATCAATCTTACTCACAGCTCACACAAAAATGACAAGGCAAAGTGACGTTACCTGCCAAGCCTCATGTAACCTCTTTGTCTGTTGGCGAGGCTATTTAAATACATGTCAGAACTAAATATCTTGACTCAACTCTTCTCATAATAGAAAGGGGCAGACAAATTGGGACAATTGGACAAAGTGTCAATTGTGCATCTATAAGTGTATCTTCCACTCACACCTCATTAACGCCACTCTAGCAGCAACAGGTTTGAGTTGTGAGATTTCGTGCTAGGCTGTTAGGTCACTGGATTAATCTGTATAAATCCGTGAGATGTGATAGTAGGGCTTCCAAAATTAAAATCTTTTTAAACACTCACCTATATCCAGTGGCTTAAAAGAATGTAGGAATCATGTTTGGTATTTATAGAATGAATGTAAAAAATGATCACCATTTTTCTGGCCTTGCCCACAGATGTTTTCCCCTTATTTCTTCTCAATAATAAACGGCAGCTTTCCCACTAACAAGGAACAGGCTTGTTTTAATTATCATATGGTTACTGAGTGACAGAGTGCAAGCCAACTGAAGCCATTGCCCAGCAAAATTACAGCACAGTCTAACCTAAGCCTTTTTCAGTTGCATTAGAACCAAGGCTGGATTTAGAACAGCCAATCCTGGCTCAGAACATCCACTTTATTTTACAGCCTTTTGGCCCACCCTGGTGCCAACACACCAGATCTAACTTAACTGAGCTTGTCACTTTTCTTCTTCATTATTCTGACTGAAAGCAGGACAGGTTTTAGAAGGAGAAGGAGAAGAAGAAACGCCGGCTGGTGCTCTCTCGTTGGGCCTTGCATGCTGGCCTAACCCTTGAGTTAGAGGTGTCTGATGGATTAACACAGACGCGCACACATACAGCAAGGCCTGGGCTCCGCCACCAACACTGCAGCCAGGTGTTAACCCACGTGACTGCAGATAAAGCCGGCAGGCATTAGTGCTAATCCCGCCCTGATCTTTGGAATATGTCCCTATTACCTCCCCAAGCACTCTCTAGCTGTCCCCAGGCCTCCTGATGCTCACTTAAGAGGGAAAAGACAAGACAATGCCTCTCTAGGACTCCCTAAAGCATGTTGTTTCCTTGCAACAACACAGTAGGTGCCTTTCCCACTGTTTGTTATGCTCCTCTGTTATCTTTTCAATGCAAGTATTTATGGGGTGTGTTCAGAGTAGCGCAGAGACAGCCAGTCACATGGGTGGAGCTTAATAATGTTCTGTAGGTAAAGGGCCTCAGGTTGTGCAGGGGCAAATACACAATGGTTAGACAATTCTAGATATCAAGAAGCAGCAGTATTATGTAAAATGGATTATCTAGTGTTATGTGATGGTGCTGCTGGGAGTGTGTGTGCGCCCTGGAAGTGAAGTGGGTGTCTGTGATCGGCAATGGAAGGTTAGACTTTGTCTCGATTTCTACACAAGCATGTGTCATATGATTTGGGAAAAGTGAAACCATGCTGCAAGTGCTACATCTGTGTGTTTATGGTATGTGTGAGTCACAGTAAAGAGAGGGTGAGTGAGACAGTACAGGCTGTATTTAGGGAATGTATAGGAACAAATTCTGAGTGGTGACACATAAAAGTTGGTATCTGCTATTTTCCAGCACAAAGAAGCTCTTCATTCCTTTTCTGTGATCTACTCTCGCTGTAATCATGTCACACTGTTCAAGATCCAAGCAAGCTGACAAAGAAGGCACCCCCTGTCTGCCGGCTTCATTCAAAAGTTTTAACCACAGACGCCCCTTATCCCCATTTTGACAGATCTCTAGTTCATCTTCCATAGGCTGTGGCATTCTGTGGAGTGTCTCCTTCTGGCACAGAAGGGAGGGGAGGACACGAGTGCCATGCTGCTGTAATTACATTACTGCCAGCTTAGCAGCGCTATGGCCACTGACCCAATTATTCATTGAAAACATCTATTTTATTGTGTCATTTGAAATAATGCGATCTTTGAGTCACAACAAGCGCTTGGTTGAGGGTTGAGGATCGTGCTCCAATGTACGATGCATGCATTGGAGAATGCATAATGTCTCAGGAATGGCTTTGACAGACTGAGGAATTCTTGGCCTAGCAGTTCACTTTCATGGTTTGCCTCAAACATGTTAATGATCCTCAGGGACTGTTTTCACTCTGTTGCTCTTCAGGTGACATATGTCTGACAGCAAACATCAAGTGGGTTATTTCTTTACATACCTCGTTTTCAGTCCAAGTATCACTACAAACACAAAATCGCGCAAATCTTCGTTTGCACTCCTTTTCTCCTTTTGAATGGATAATTTGATGTGTTTGTTTTAGGCCTCACACGTTCAACTTGCCTTATCTCGGAGCATGCATGGGCACATCAGCGCTGATGCTTTGTGAGGGCCGGACATGCTGCGCCTGTGTGAGAGCTGTTTTAGTTGTCTTTGCAACTCATCTGCACTTTTATGTCTCTGTTTGAGGATGGCTTTTCCTTCTGCTGGAAAGTCCTCTGGGGTTCCACTATATCCTCTGCGTTGTTGCTCTTCTCTGTTTGCTGGAAAACAGCAGCATTTGTCCTTTCAGGAAGTGAACCGCTCATTCATGTCTTTCCGTTGCTCTCCTAAGAAAACACCGGTGCCCCTTCCCCCTATCAATATCTGTATATTTATGTGCTTGACAGCGGAGGCCAGTGGTAGATATTAAATGTCTGTTCTGATTAATCATCCGTGGCCATCGGAACAAGCTGCAGAATGCTCCCTGGCACTTTTATTGGCGTCAATCGACTGCAGATGGGACTAATGTGTTTCTGAGTGGAGCAATTATGACAATCAAAGTGTCTTCAGGGACATGAGATCAGTGTTTGATGACCAGGCTTCATCCAGTGTCAGCAACTGAGACATCGGAGGACTCATCTGTTTTTTACGAGCTAATTGTTTTATCAAGATGAGCCACAGAGCGAACAGTCTACAGGCATTGATGTATCACGGCTGTGTGAAACAGCAAACTCCGAAGCTGAGTAATTGTCCCAAACTGACCTATTAATAGCATAAGAAAACAATGATCTCATCCTTTGCCATATATCATAACAAACTAGCTCTTTTTAAATTAAAAAATTTATCACATTTAGAGCAGGAGCAGTAAGATGGTGTTAGGAAAATGAGACTTTCCATTGAGGCTTCTATCTATCATGTCTGGTAAAATTCAGACATATAGCCAGGCACCAAGTAGCATTCTGCCACAGCCACAGCTCCACATTTGATTTACATACACTGTGTTAAATGAGGTTGTTAGCTGAAATGTTTGACTTTCAAATGAATACCATTCTACCCCTTCATTGTGCAGAGGCTGCTTACCACGTCAAACCCATATGGAATTATGAGTGATGAGTCAAGCTTTGACTGATAGGACTGGTTCTACCTGTTTATACCATGTTTATTCTACTGCGACTCGTGCATACAGCTTATTTGTATTTTCCCTCTGCTGTGTCTAAAACACAGAGGCAGTGTCTATATTTGCATATAGTGATTTTTTGTTTTACTTAGTTTACTGCAAAAAGCAGATTCCACCAAAAAGCCAAAATGTTCTTACTATTTTTTTAAAAACTTCTGTTAACTGTGATCCGCAGGAGTAACGCACATTTTGAAAGTGCAAACTTCCAGAAGTTATTCATTTCAGAATTTTGTTATTCTACCAGAGTAGACAAAGATATGTGACATTTTGTCCCATTGTAAACACTCCAGCAGCCTGTATATGTACACTACAGAATCCAGTCTGGGAAAACACTTTGTAAGGCTGGTCTGGATTTGCTGTTAGTCACTGCCAGTATACCATTTCCGGCTCTGGGGAAATGTTTTGCTCACTGGTGACATGATATGAAAAATACAAAGAAGTGAGCTTGTAAAAACTCTCAAATACCTGTGGCATGACAATAAGGAAAGCAAAAAAATGAGGTATAATTCCTCCAAACTATGATTTGTGGCTGCTATGGTGCAGTGTCTATTGAAAGGGAGGGGCGGTATAAGATAAAGGGATGTACACACATTCTCACTGAGGCCTCATTATACATAGCATTACAAATAGGTGTGGTTAAAGAAATTCTTGTAAAGGAAGGAATGGATGATTTACTTCTGCAAAGAAAAATGTTTTTTCCTTCAGAAATGAATAGAAGAAGCTATTCTCACCCACATCAGGTATTTTTGATATGATACACAAACTTTTAAGAGGTTTCAAGGGGCAGGGGTTGTAAAACTCATCTGACCTGCCTTAAGTTCAAATAAGAACTGGCAGTTATGTTTTTTCCTTCTCAGCCAGGAGCGATTAAATACACACTGAATTCTCAGGTGTCAGCAAGTGATGTCAAGCTCACAGATCATAAACCCACTTAAAGTTAAAATGAAATGACAGCAGAATCCCAAAAAAGAAAACTGACGGTTAAATAAAAGCCCTGTTGAGAGAAGTGGAATCATGGGAGGGTCAAAGATATGTACTGGCACGGAAGATAAAAAGTTTTGCATTGTTCTCTGTGCTTTAATGTGACAAGTTGAGAAGATGGTTTACATGTTTGAATGTGTTACTGAACATGTCTGACGTTTGTCCGTTTGTGCCTCTCTCGACAGAGTTTCAATGCTCCTCCACGTTCTAAGATGAAGTTATGGAAAGGTGCTACTTTTGCCTTCATGCTCTGTGGTGCAGCCCTGTCCATCCTCCTCATTAGAAACATGGCCACTATCGGACAGTTCAGACCTAAGACGAAATATCCGTACGCATCTTCATCCTCATCGATGCAGTCTTCATCATCAGAATCAACATCCAAGACCTCGCCGCAATCCCCCTCATCGCCACCATCATCATCAGCAGAATCAACAGTGTTGTCCAGGCAGATGGGTGGTCTTCATCGGAGAACACGCTCGGCAGACGAGATGAACTCTCTCCTCTCAGAGTGTAAGATAAAATGAGTTATTGTCCTCTTTCCTTGTCTGGTCTGAGATAAGGGGTTGTGTGAAAGGGTTGCTGGGGTTCAGACAGAACACTTAGTACCCGACTCTGTTGTTTATAGAGCAGGTTTTAATGTCTCACCATAACCTGCAGTCAATTAGCACCTCATAGTTCACTGGCTTTCCATAGAACCACTATAATGCTTAAGAGCGGATCAAATACCCACTTTTCTTTTGTTCCACATGGCCTCCCTGAGAGGCATTCTTCAACTTAAATGGGTTTTAAGGAATTCTGATACGATCTTTAGTACCGATGGTGATAAGACTGGTTTGTTGTTGTCATGATGTCAGATAAAATAAACTTGTGCTCATCTGTTTGCACGTAATTTTCATTTCATCATGTTCTCTATGTGAGGCATTTACCCTGTTTCCATATCTTATGACTATAAGATTACATAAAAACTCACTCTAGCTGTCTGCTGGTGTTAATTTATCTCCTCTTTGTCAGTTTCCATGATGTTCCAGAGCTTCACAGAGGGTGAGCTTCAGCATGTGGTCGGGACCTTGCTTGACAGGAAGAGGAGGAAGAGCCGGCGCCTGGGTGAGAAGCAGGCCCGAAGGACTAAAAGAGCCCAGAGGCCTAAGCCCTGCTCCTTGAGGAAGCTGCAGCTGACCGTGAGTGAACTGGGTCTCGGTTATGACAGTAATGAGACAGTGCTGCTGCGCTATTGCAGTGGCAAATGTGAGGACCAACATCGGCAAAACTACGACGTCATCATGAAGTACATGATGCGGACGGGCTTCAGGAAGAAGGGCCGCAAGGACAAGGTCAGCAACGGGCCCTGCTGCCGGCCCACCGCCTTCGAAAAGGACTTTTCCTTCCTGGGCAACAACAATCGCTATTACACGGTACAGAATGTGTCGGCGAAGAACTGCGGGTGTGTATGACCCAGAGAAATGGACTTATCACTTCTTCTTGCTGCTCTCAGCCTCTGTTGGAACAGTGGGTGCTGTTAAAAGACAAACTGTGGAATATAAACTCAAGGAAGGAAGAAAAGGATGGTAATATTTTCACAGGCTGCTCCACGGCGGCCTTTTTGTGACAGGCAAACTTGACTTTTTTTGGCGTCTGTCAATACAAATTGGAACCAAATCACATGGACAGCGAGTGCTGCGTTTTTGTGGATTCCATGTAAAGAGACACAGAGAATGACTGTTCATACCAAAAAGTTTTTATTATCTTTTCTATCTGTGTAGTAACACTGTAAACTGTGGTGTAACAACAATGTAGCAACATTATGTTTGTGATATTGCATTTGAGTAGTAGTACATGCGATAGATGAGCCATGGTGGACTAGATTATTGCTGTTACTACACTTCATATCCATGGGCGTAAACGTCTATAACTCCAAATCTTGTACTTTACATGGTTATAATGGTGACAGTAAATCACCTATCAGGCAAAAAAAGTGCTCAAAAATCCATTTCAAAGCCATAAATAAAAATGAAAATACATGCAATGCACCGATGTTTACTTTCTGCATAAGACAGTTTGGACCATTGACCTAAAATGATCAGTGATCAGCTGTCTCTGTAAAGTACATTGACTTAAAAGTGTGTTGAGTTATCACAGGTGACATGACTTTGTGACCTGTTTCCCTGCTTGTATGCATTACTGTTACTGATTGCAGTGTTATTACACAGGTAAAAGAACATGTGTTATGGTTAAGAATTTGACAATGAAAGAAAATCCTTTTATATAGCTCCAGGTTTGATACCCACCTTTAATTGTTGTGTTTTGTATATCGATGTTGTGTAGATTAACAATGAGGACCTGTTTCAAAACACACAAATACTCTCTCATGATAGTAATAGAACAACATGAAAATGTATCCCACCTGCTCTCCATAGAATAAGTCATCACACTCAAAGAAATGATGATCTTTTTTTTATACTTTCCCCAAAACACCCAGTATTCTAATTACCCATAATCCTCTGGAATTATTTTCCTCAAAGAATTGCCAAAACACACAGAGTCAATTCAACTCACAATTAATTCATTAACTTAGATTTATAAATATCTCACATCTCAAGTTCCAGGTGATATAACCGCTTTATTATCGTCTCTGGTTGTAATTTCTGAGCGTTTACACTCAGAACTTTAGCTAATCTGAGGTGTGAAAGGGAAGAATGCTTTAATGATCAGTAGCGGTATTTTTTTTTCTTCCCCCACAGACAAAAAACTAACTATGAAGTAGAGTCGGGATCTGAAAATGTGTTTGCACCCATCCATAAAAACCTGTAACTTACTATGATCCAAAGCCCACAGTACAGCCTTTTATTGGCCCATCAAATGCCTCCTTGTTGTATTGCCTGGTAGAGTTTTAGCAGAAAATAAGCTGTTGAAATGAAATATGAAACATGTTTTCACCTTCGACAATCTTTATTTTGAACCCATTGCAACTGTTTGCCTGAAGTACAATAAATTATGTTTTTGTTTCTGTTTTTCCTGAGGTGGTGCAGTGTGGGGCGTGGATGCGGTGCATCTTTATTGTAGTTTATATTGTATTTATTTGGGAAATAAATTATGTTTTTTTTTTGCATATTTATTTAGATTACCACACAGAAACGGGACAGCTTATTATCATTAAGCAACTGTGCCAAAAAATGTTTTATCTAACATTCTATATTGACTGCTGAATAAACATAATTTCAGAGGTTTGGATGTTCATCATTTCTCCCAAATACTCTGTACTCAGATTGTATTTAAAATACATAAATAAAAGAATAAAAGTCTTAAAATGCAAGATGCTGTTGATAATGAAATAAATGACTATGAGATGGGGATCCCTGTGCGGAAAGTTGACGATCAGATTACATTATAATAAACCATATGGCACATGTTAGCATGACAAAGGTGTTGTGTTTTACACCTTTGTCACGCTAACATGTGAACATTTGAATAATGCTGGTTCACTTAGTCAGGTTCTCTGGAATTACCTATTATACAACAGCTCAGCAGCCTGTGTACTGAAAGGCAGCAATGATATAAGCTTATGCAGACAGACCAGACAGTTTGATCCCTCTGACAGGCAGAGAACTCGACGGGGATGTGACTGTGACAGCTTCTCATTTCAAATTATTGACAGAAACAGGCTCTTCTCCATCTCCTGAATATTAGGATATGATTGTAATATTCTTTTTTTCTTATCAAATCCCATGTAAACACCAAAACCAACTGGTAATAGATCACACTAACAAGTATTGCCTTTTTTAGCCAAAGCCTGATGTAGATTATTACTGTCAGAGCTCCACTGTCGTCCAAAAACTATTAAAAACACATTATTGAGCCACAGTGTTGTACTGGGTGACATGTCCCTTCACAGTGAAGGAGGTTTATTCAATCCCACATACACCGTCCTGCTGCCAGAAATACTCACTAGAGCCCAAATGTGTATTAACTTCGCGGCTGAAAATAGTTCTTAAGAAATAATGCATTATTTACTCTTATTTGAAACACTTCTAAAAGCAACAGTGCTCAGCTGTTTTTGGAAATGAAACTATATATTTGTGAGTTTTCAGTTGGAGCCAGTGGGATCGGGCTAAGTGCCACACACAGGTTAGCCAGAAAGTAACTGAGAGAGAGTAATTGTTATTGGTTTTGTTGAGTAAATAAGAATAAGAAAAAGGGATAAGAAAAGAGGCAACCTTATCTTTTGAGTGAAATTGAATCATTCGTACAGAGACGCTTTGAAGATAATTAAAGATGATCTTCGGGGAATGTTTTTTTTTTGTAAATAATTTGCTGTTGGAACACAAGATTGTGTCTCAAAAAAGTAAACTTTCCAAAGGTGAACATAAGCAACCTTGTTTTTAGCTTGACCACCGTGCAGTTTTGAGTTCAGCCGAAAGGTTTTATGAGGCTTCCTGAGTCACAGAACTTTCTCAACCCCTACAGGAGTTTTAAATTGAGTTTATTAAGTTTTCTACAGGAAAATGTTCACCCAAATTTCAAAGAGTATTAATAATAAAAGTAGTAATCAGTGTGTCTAGCCATGCAGAAGGTTTTGATTTAGATTTGTCCAGGTTTTCAGATATCTGACTCTGGGATTTTCTGCCTCCACCCCAAAACAATGAAGGTTTGTTTATGCTCGTTACAACATTGAAAATTACACTGGAAAATTTAAACAGCAATTCCAGAAACCTTTCCAGAAACAATGGTCTGGTTGGATAATTCACTTTGTCTTTTAATAGGAACAACTTCATTGGTAGAAAGAAGCTCTAAAGAGAACTGTTGAACTGTTGAGGTGGATTATCGATGGCCAATAATTAGACTGAATTGGCATTTCTATTTCACTTTATTATTCAGTCTGATATCTGGACCATGTTAGCTGTTTTTTTGTGTGTTTATTTTGCTCTGACAATTCAGTAGCAACTTTTTCCCTCATCACAGAAGCTGTAGTTATTGTTTTGTGGTGATCGAAGAAATAGTTAAATTTACTTATAACCAGCTACAGCTGTGTTGATCTCAACCACACGTTTCTCAATTTTTGCATCATTTTCTGTCACCATTTTTCAGGCTCTCGAGGGAAATGTTCCCGCTCTCAGTCCCACCGACAATGCTATTATTGGCTTGGTGGGTCTCCAACATATTCAACCACAACAGACTAATTGAATGACAAATTAAAAAAAGATTTGAGTATCGATTTAGAAGTCTGGAACCATGCTTGGATTGTAAATTATGAATAAAAAAAAGTTCTGTGAAAGGTCCAGTGTGTATGATTTATGGAGATCTATTTATAAAATAAGGAAGAATCCATGTCTTCACAATAATCACCTGAAAATAAGAATCATTATGTTTGAGTCTACCATGGGTGTCATGCCTGACATTCAAACATCATACAAACAATGCACATTTCTCCACTAATGGTCAAATTCGCAGAGCAGAAGCTGACACAGCTACAACAATGCATCCTGAATTTGACATAAAGGCATACCTTTTGACTTTTTCCCAAATAAAAACTCTCCTATGGGCCTTTCTTGAGGCAGACATTTTGACATGTCATAGCAAGTAAAGCACAGGTGTAATTGATATCATTAATTGTAGCTGCATTCCTTTCTCATGTGTCTGATCTAGGGCCCTGGTTTAGTTCATGTTGACTCATTGAAATGGCTCACTGGTATACCTAATGGAACAAAGCCCCCATTAATTTAAGTCTGTTACTATTACCATTGAAATGCCCTCTCAGATATCACTAAAGGGGAGGCAGTGGAGGAGCCAGGTTTAGGGAATGTGGTCTAATCAGAAAAGCTAACAACAGTTCATGACAACTCCTTCAATACACTGAAAATCACAGCTTGATGATAAACAACCGTGTGTAAGTATCTGAGCAGGAATTTGGCTTCAAGTTAAAGTCAGAACATTAAACACACCAAAATGGGGTTGCAGAGTTTTTATGTGATGGCAGCAGTATATACAGTATGTGCAGTATTGTAAATAAACTTTTTATATGGAGGTAATTCAAGAACAATATTTGTTTGAGATATATCCTGGTCCCCTCAGATGCCAGTTCTGACTTGGAGTCAATGTAATATTGAATATAATACAGTTCATACTGAAATCTTAGTGAATACTAATGGTTGTTTTGGGTGAAGGGTCTACTTTGGATGTAAGTTGTTTTAAATTTAATATGTTGTCCCCATATTTCATCTCCTCAATATGAGTTATATTAAGCAGGAAAAGCTCTTTCTGAGTTGTACATGCATGAGAGTGCTTGTTATTCCCCAGGAGACAAATCCCTGAAAAGGCCAGACAACACAACTTATACAACTTCCTGCACAGTTTCAATGAGGCAACATCACCTCTTGGAGTTCATACCATGACTGCAGGCAGTTGGAGGTAACACAGAAGTCAGCTTGAGTTACCTGAGCGTAGAGTCGATCAGAGGCAGGTCACACAGAATGATGTGGCTGACGGATGGTCCGGGGGAAACTGTTGTATTTTTGTGAGTGAAAAAATAATCTTTTTCCCTTTGGGTTTTATTTGGCCAAGTGGAGCACATGTTTCAGTTTGACTGTGACTTACTGTATTTACTACAGCTGTGGGGGAGAAATGACTTCAACAGTTAGTATTTTGAGCAATTTCATATTTTAAAGCCAATTACAGGAATAACAGAGAAGTACACGACTCCCTCACATCAAAGGCATGTCACCCGCCAACATTTGGATGCAATGAAATCCAATACATGAAGTATTTTCCAACAGTGACAACTTTCGCTCCAGTTACAGAAGCAAATAGAAAAAAATGGAAAGCATTTCCCAGCATGTACTTACATAGTATTTTTATGTAATTTCCTCATATATTTTTTGTACTTGGAGCACCCCAAATAAGATTAAAATGTTTACAACAGCAATGAAAGTGGAACCAGTTTACCTCTGGTATAAACAGATATTTCCGTTAGATGGCCTTCAAACCAAAATGTGTACAAACCCACAGCAGAGAACTACATGATTTTCAGGAATAAAAAAACAGTTAATGAAAGCAACACTGGTGAGAAAACCAAACTGCATAATAACACATGGCATCCATTTGATCACAAAGTACGATTCATCTACAGGAATTTTGACTGTGGCTTGGAATTTTCAAAGAAATCATTACAGCTATTTGTTTTTCCTATTGTAGCTTTCATGGGGTGATAATGGCAGGTTAGACCTAGGGCCAGCAGGAGTTAATGAACTCAAAATTGAAAGAAGTAAAACTCTTAAAGAGCTCAGCAAGACTAAATAATCCACTTCACCCATTATCTTCTCCTTTATGTGGTTTCTTGTATAATCAGGTTTCTTGTATAATCTACGACTATCTTGTGTCAACTGTCTACGTGTTGGTGTTTTAGCTCAAATCGATGATTATTTGTGTTTTGCAGATTAAAAGGAATCCCCCCCTCCCTCCATATTCCTGTCAACATCGTAGCGTGTTGGAGGATAATAGTGTTAGTGTATACAAGACATCTGTTGTTGGTAACAGCACTGACAAGATCTACAATAAACATGCCAAACTTTTACAACCCCCTCCCATGTCCAGCTGCAGCATGTTGGTGAGTTCAGACATCTTAGCAGGAAGATAGCAGGACGGAGGATGCAGCAGTGACTCTAAGGACCCAGACAGCCTGAACAACTGCAATGAGCAGGTGTTTCTCCTCTTCCTGAGCAACTCTCCAAAGATGAATTATCACAATCCATTTTGGCTGTATTTTCTTTTTTTCATAAAGAAATGATTACATTAAGACATTGGGCGTTACACTTTTTAATTGCATTATAAGATTTATGTTGGATTTGTTTGGTGGGAAATGTGAGGTCATGAATATATCATTTTATAATAGAGACAGATGTATAAGTCAAATAAATGTACGTGTCGACTCCTCGTATTCATTCATAATTCATGTGCATTTTGCTATTCACATCCATAAATATTGAAAACCTTTAAACCTAAATAATCATTCATAATTCAGTGAATTTATATAAGCTGCTAATTAAAAGCGATGACATTGTGTGTATACGCTGAAAAGAACAATTCAGTTCGTAATAAGTGCCTGTTGTCTATGACTTTTAAACAGTGTTAATGGATAGTCTGGAGTACGGTCCAGACAGGCTGGTGCAGCTAACAGCGGCGCAGCTTTCTGATT